GGGGGGGGGGGGAACATCGAGCTCGAATCAACGATGCGTCGCCCATCGATCGGCGACAGGACCCTGCTAGCGAATCCTCGCGCGCATCGGCAGGATGGGCCATCGGGCCCCGTGTCGGCAATGCATGGGCGATCGGGGGTCGGCACTCCCCCTGCAGGAGCCTATGCCCTCCCAACGTTGCCCCTGATGCATCCCCCATCGGCCTAAGGGCATCTGCATCGTCCCTCCTCCTCCTCCGTTTTGACCTCCTCCTCCTATGCCCTCATTCTGTTCTCTTCACTGCGCTCCTCCTCCTCCTCCTCCCCTCCTCCTCTCCTTTTCTCTTCCTCCTCCTCCTCTCTCTCCTCCTCTCATCCTCCTCCTCCTCCTCCTCCTCCTCTCTCCTCCTCCCCTCCTCCTCCTCCTCCTCCTCCCTCCTCCTCCTCTCCTCCCTCCCTCCCTCCTCCCTCCCTCCCTCCCTCCCTCCCTCCCTCCCTCCTCTCCTCCTCCTCTCATCTTCCTCTCCTCCTCCTATCCTCCTCTCTCCTCCTCCTCCTCCTCCTCACTCCTCCTCCTCCTCCTCCTCCTCCACCTCCGCTCCTCCTCCTCCTCCTCCCTCCTCCTCCTTTTGTCTCCTCCTCCTCCTCCTACCTCCTCCTCCTCCTCCTCCTCCTCCTCCATCCTCTCTTCTCCTCCTCCTCCTCCTCAATCCTCCTCCTCCTCCTCCTCCCTGCTCCTCCTCATCCCTCCTCCTCCCCTCCTCCTCCGCCTCCTCCTCTCCTCCTCTCCTCCTCCTCCTCCTCCTCCTCCTCCTCCTCTCCTCCTCCGCCCTCATCCCCCTCCTCATCCTCTTCCTTCGTATCCTCCTCCCTCTCCCTCCTCCGCCTCCTCCTCCTCCTCCTCCTCCTCCTCCTCCTCCTCCTCCTCCTCCTCCTCCTTCCAGCGGCCGAGATCGCGACGCGTACAATCTGCAGCGCGGGGGCGTCTGTGGCGCGGTCGGAGGCGTTGACGAGGCGCCAGGCGGTGAGAACGTCGCCTCACGGGCCACGGAGAAGGCGGGACGAGGAGGAGAAGGAGGGGAGGAGGAGGAGGAGGAGGAGGAGGAGGAAGAGGAGGAGGAGGACGAGGAGGAGGAGGAGGACCAGTGGAAACCCAAGAGTCATCAACGATGTTGGAATTAACTTTCCCTCCAAGCTCCCTCTTCACAGGCCCCTACAACGGTTCATTTCCATTGAGGGAACTGCCTCGCTGGAAGACAACAGTTTGAAGATCCTGAAGCGTGCCAAAGCATTGTTCTCGGGATTTCAACGCCACGTATCAACCTGACTGCTGCGTCTTGACGATCCAGAATCGTGCCAGAACGCCATTTTTTGGCCCTTCAACACAGCAAATCAACATAACTGTTGCGCCCGCATAATCCTGAATCCTTTCAAAACACCACTTCTGGTACGCTGATCATGGGAACCCGTGAAACTGTTGCAAATTTAAAAACACGAATGTGCGCGGCGCGAAGACGAGAGCCACATAATGACAAGGAACCGCCCTCAACCCATGAAACGCTTGCAATTGTGTTGAAACGAATGCGCGCGGCGCTAGGGCGAGAACCAAATTTTGAGAACCACCCGCCCTGAATCCATGAAGCTCTTCATTTGTTATAACGAATGTGCGCGGCGCCAAGGCGAGAGTCACATGCTGAAAACCACCAACCCGCAATCCGTGAAACTCTTGCAATTGTGTTAAAACAAGTGTGCGCAACGCTAAGGCGAGAGCCACATTTTGAAAACGACCGGCCCTCAATCCGTGAAGCTCCTGCGATGTGTTACAACGAATGTGCGCGGCGCTAAGGCGAGAGCCACATTTTGAAAACCACCCGCCCTCAACCCGTGAAACTTCTGCAATTGTGTTAAAACAAATGTGCGCGGCGCTAAGGCGAGACCACAGTTTAAAACCACCCGCCCGCAATCCGTGAAGCTCTTGCGATGTTTTACAACGAATGTGCGCGGCGCTAAGGCGAGAGCCACATTTTGAAAACCACCCGCCCTCAACCCGTGACACTCTTGCAATTGTGTTCAACCAATGTGCGCGGCGCTAAGGCGAGAGCCACATCTTGAAAGCGACCCGCCCTCCATGTATGAAACTGTTGTCACTTTTATGCTTCAGAATCAAAAATAGTGAATAATTCTCCAGCGAAGCGCCCGGCCCGCCCTAAGAACTGGCCTCGGGGTGCGACAGGCAGAAATTATTCATAAGGGAAAAGGAATAAAGGAGGAGGAGGAGGAGAAAGAGGAGGAGGAGGAGGACAACCTCCAACTCCTCCCTCTGCTCACGCTGCCAGTTTGGCGGCTCGATGCCCCAGCGAGCCCACATGTTGCTGCCTTTTCTCGCTGCCTGGCTTGTTCCCCGCATGTGCTGGCAGCTGCATTCAGGCCACATCGTCTAAGTCGATTGTCTCTTGGTTATCACGCCCAGAAGATGCGGCCATTCGATCATAGCTTGCGCAAGTCATATGGAGGCCGAGGAGGAAGATGAAGTTGCTTGTCCTCTTCAACCGTTGATGCTAGAATGTTACCACGAACCATGGCGGCGACCTGGACTGGAGGCGCACCTCCCCCCCGCGTGATGGGGCGGCAGGACCCCTTGATTTAGAGGGCGTGGGTGTTCCGCTGACATGTACCACCCGCCTGCGTTAAGACCAGCCAGAGGCACACACACACACACACACACACACAAACAAAAAAAACGCATCACATGTGGCTGACCTTGGCGGCGGCAAACTCCAAGGACCAGGACACACGGAGCCAGAAAACCCCAACCCAGCGTGGGCAGCACGGGAGGGGGGCGGAGGAAGCACCCTGACGATACCATGCGCCCAGAAGAAGGGCCAGCAGACGTGGCTCGGGCGGCTGGGCCAGCTCGACTGGCAGGCGTCGCCACTCCGTGATGGCGGCCTAAGGGAGAACCGGGAAAAGGCTGCAGCCTGCATGGTACCCTCCTCGCCACAGCAGGACACTCGGCGCGCGCGGCCAGCCGGGCAGTCAGCAGGCTGAGCAATACGACCCGGGATGAAAAAGCACGCGCAGCACGCGCCGACGCCGCGGAGAGGCGCGCAGAGTGCCAGGAAGCAAAGGGCAAGGCCACTGGGAAGAGATCCCCCAGGCGTGCCAAACAACGGAGCCAGCAGGTCCAGCTGGTCGGAGTCCCCTCCGTTGTCAGCAGCATGCGGCAAGACCAAAGGGCGCTCGCCCACCGCAACTCGGAGCTCGTGCGCCACTTGGCGGGGAGCCTGCTCAGAAGAAACCGATGTGGCGGCAGCTCTGAGGTACAGGGCCGCCGGCTCGACTCTACGTTCCTTTGTGTCCAAAGGAACGTCAGAGGCATGAAACCGAGGACGACGGGGGCTATATCCAGGGGGGTATATTCATCAGCTAGATCAGAGTACACTCGGGGCAATCAACGAAAACGTCATTGCGCTTCGGGTGAAGCCCCCTGGAGAAAACCGACACAACTGACGCGAGCTTGTCACAAGGCCCCGTTTGCCCCTTGAAACGCCCATGGGAGCTCTACGCTTTACATTTCTGGCATATGAAAAATCGTCAGAGCCCTGCAAGGCTGTGTAAACGTGACACTGGGCCTGAATTTCCTGGATGGGAAGAGCACGGTGTCCAGGGCAAGCACTGACAGGGGGTATGCTTAGGCCACTTAGACCGATGAGCCTTTAAACATATATAACATGTCCAAAACGTGCCGTAGTGTCGATAGATGTGAGAAAGATCACAAGCACTCTCTCTGTCCCTGGGCGGCCGTGTTTACTCGACTTCTCCGAAGTGGCGAACGGGACTGAAGTTTGGCAAGAGGTACATCGCCAACACACGCACACACAACCAAACAAACACTGTCGAGCATCAAATACCTAACTGAAGCTGGTCTTGAAAACCCAGCTCTGGGGCCGGGTGCCTCCCCCCGAGCTGCCCCTGCCTGCAGGAAAGGGAACACAAGCAGCGGAGACCGCACAGTCCTGCCGAAACGAGATCAGATCAGCACGGAAGACCTCATTGCACCAGCCTTGCAGACGTGCTGCAGCGGATTTCTGCGTGCATTTCTGCGTGGATTGTTGCCCGAAACGGCGAGCGGAAAACGAAGTGAATTTCGCGTGGAATATTTTTGGTATTCATTCCTGGCCAAAAAAGATCCGCACGAAATTCACCTCGAAATCCGGAACAAAATTCTCCAAAACACTCCGGGCCCACGCTGTCGTTTTCCAAACGAAATCCGCTTTGCGATGTTGGCGCCATGAAAGACCGCCTGAGCTGCAGAGGCCCCCAGCGGCAACGGCAAAACTCGCTGCGGCTGACGCAAGGAAACAGAAAGGATACGAAGAGGGATGAGACGGGAAGAGACGGGAGGAGAGGGGAGAGGAGAAGGAATGGGAAGATGCGAAGAGAAGGAAGGGAAGGAAGCGGGGAGGAAGGAGAGGGTAAGTGGGGGAGGGAAGAGGGGTACAAGGCAGGGAGAAGTGTGGAAGTAAGAAGAGGGAGGAGGCGAGGGGAACAGAGGGGAGAGGGAAGAAGGGGGAGAACCACGCTCACAGGAGCTGGCGTGGGCCGCCTGCTGTGCCAAATCAGCCACCAGCCGTGAGGTGCAAGGAGAGCAAAGGTGGAAAGCGATCGCATGAGGCTGCCAAGGCGCTAAAAAGTGCAACGGGAAGAGAAAAGGGAGTGAGGAAGACGAGGAAGGGGAAAAGGACGAGCCAAACTAAGAGAAAAGGCCCTCTCGCTGGCGGACGGTGCTTGCATCGGGGGCACGGACACGCAACGGTCCACCGCAAAGCAACGTGGCGTGTACAGTTCCACACTCTTTGAGGCCTTGGCTTCGAGGGCCGCCACTGGATGTTCGTGCGAATCATCACGTCCCGCTGCTTGCTAGGCATTGCTCTTGAGCTCGCGACCCTCGCTCAGCGCGGAAGCGTTCCTCGCAGTTCGCCGCCAGTGCCTGCCATCCACGCCACAACGACGCCATGCGCTACATCTACCAAGTCATCGAGTACGCCCACGGACGTGGCCTAGCTGGCCGCTTCGCCGAGATCATAACTCAGCTCAGATGGCCTCGGCCGTCCTCTGGCGCCTGGAGCGGCGATGCTGGGAACCTGCTCCATTGGCTCACTGCCTCCATCACCTGGATCACTCGCGCGGTGGGCGTCCCAACGCCGCGCTTTCCTGCCACGTGCGCCGACTCTGCGGCACGACTCGGTGATGCCGCCACGCGCCCATACCCCGCGGGCGGGTCTGCCAACTCATGGCGTGCCCGTCCAAGAGCCGTCACGACCGAACGTGATAGCCGATAGCTCTCCCCCCAAACTTACCTCTGCGGCGGAGACCACGGACACACACCACCGCTTGGACTGCGCTTCTTTGCCCGAGGGCCATGACAGACCCCTCCCTGCTGTTTCTGCGACTACGCGGCATACGCTCGGGGATGTACTGTGCGTCGGTGCAGCTGTCGGGGCACCCCAGCGGTTGTGCCCTGTGCCGCAGCTTTTCGCGCGGTCTACTGGCGTGAGTGGTCACCACGCGCACGCCACTGCGGTCAGAATCAGCGGAGTTCAAGGACGCAAGACCCCTCGAAGCGCGCCCACGCCCGCAAAGCTGCGCGCACCCGCAGGGGTGCCCTTGGGCCAGGGAAGCCAGAAACCAGCCAAGGACGGCCAGAACCGAAAGGCCCATCCTTAACGCCGTATTTGACTGTGTTGTTTCTCTGGGGATGGCCTATGTTTGCTTGCTCTCCAATCGGATCTTGCTCCGTCCACGACCTCCTCTCGAAGACGGGGGCAACAACGATGGCGCCCACACCTTAGCTGATGAAAACGGAGTCCTTCAGCTATTTGTAGCCACGGAGGGCACGCGCACCACATTCCCGCTCAACCCCTTCGCGTGGGCCGTCTTGGACGTGTTGGTCGCGCCCAACCACCGCTGAAATTACGCTCGGCGCGTGCACGGGCCCGTCGAGACTCCCGAACGGGCTGCTGAGACGGCTGTCAAT